CGTCGTGTATATTGAAGAAGTGCAGGGATTGCGACTCCAAAAGTGTCGCGCTCGCGATTCGAATACTTCTCGCGGTCGGCAAACTTGAACAAGTTGGTCGCGCGCGTCACGGGAATTCGTCTCGAGTGCAGTGAGTAATAATGCAGCGCGGCATGCAGTCGTCGAGACGTGTTCACAGCACAAAGTCGCAGCGAGAGACATAGACGTAGAACTGATGCAATCGACAATTGTCCCATCGATGTCCCGCGGCATTGACTGTCGAGAGACGTTCCTCGACACGGAATTGCACCACGTCGATCGCGCTGTAATCGTCTAGATAACGCAGTAGTAGTTCATTTATCGAGGATAACAGCGACGAAAAAAAGGTATGTATGGGTTGTCTGTAAATAGTAGAATAAATGTGAATTTTTTTAAATATGAATGTGTGGTTGCCAGGACTTGAGTCCTTCCGTATTTAAAAACATTTTCTCCTTATTTACAATTTACATTAAAAGCTGTATAATAATGAGATATCTTTTCTATTAATTAATAAAATTTCTATTGTGATTTGTACTCTATTTTCAATAAAAAAATTTTCAAGTCACGGAATAACGTCAATATCATAGGAAAGACTCTACTTCGAGCGCGAACTATAAGATAAGCTGTATTTACCTTTCTTGAAATACGGAGATATATACTTAGATATTTATTCGGTATGTTTATTCTGGATACTCTAAACGATTTCGACTTTAGGGCTCAACGTATACCACGATCTACACTGAGTTGCATTAACTTTAAGGATTGTGTCGGCTTCGCGGTTGAGTTAAGCGTTAAGAATTAATGGAGAAGATTCGAGAAGGAAGAGGACATTTAATCGTTCCGTTCAGAATAGCTGATGATGGTGTAGGAGGTGTTTATTTCAGTAATCAAAGCTTTGACGCAACCGATGATGTAATGATGAAGTAACATCGCGTTTTTTTTCTAATAACGTCACTTTTTGTGAATAAGATTATTTCGTTGATTCGAAAACATTATTTAGTTTTTATGAAGCTTAACGAAAACAAGTAATAATGTGAATTATTTTTTTATAACTGATAATACAAGGTAATACTGTAAAATATTCGTATAAAAGAACAAACAAACAAATAAATAAATTAATTAATATAAGCTAACAGAAATATGTTACGATATAAAATGATATAACAAGATAATTTTGTAAAATATTGGTATATAAACAAACAAACAAATTAATTAATTAATACAAGGTAATAGAAATATAATATAAAATAATATATAATCTTGTAGATTCTCGTA